TTCGTGAGCAAGTACGCGTGGCTTGCAGCTGTCAGTGAGTTTCGGGCGTGTGTCACGCCGTGACACACTGATTCAATTGTGGCAGCTTGGCAAATGTGGTGTGGGTTAATTCAATGGTTACTCAATTTTTAGCGCATTTTCTCATTTATGGGAAAAATGCACTATTGTGCTCGTCATGTCCGTCCGTCCGTCTGTCCGTCCGTCTGTCTGTCCGTCCGTCTGTCCGTGACCTAAAGTTTTCGTCGACGAGAAAATGCGCTCTCTGTCACTCACTGCAGTGAGTACTGAGTTATATTTTTTTTAGATTTCGTACGCTAAAGTGACTAATTTAACAAGGCTCACATTTGTAATTACATTATCTAATCGGAAACTATTCTTGTTCTATGGTGAAATTAGTGTTGCCTGCAAATTTCTAAATTCACTCGTTGAAGGGAGCATCTATTTATTTACATTTGCTACGACTTGTTGATGGCCGTTTGTACGTTAGGCGGGCGAGAATCTCGACGTATCTTTAACGTAAATAAACCAAGCCAAAACTTGAAACGGCTTGACCTGTATGAGCTGTCACTAAAAATTGTTTCATTCAAAATTAAGCGTACCTTTTCTTGTCTGTACGGTTCGAGAATTTGAAGCAAGCTTAACGTAGAGACCCGATTATTGTTTCAGTCGAAATTAAGCGTACCTTTTGTTGTCTATACGGTTCGAGAATTTGAAGCAAGCTTAACGTAGAGACCGGATTAATTCCAGATAATTACGAATTATTTGTCAACAACAAATATCTTTGATATTATTTAGCGCCATATGTAAGTTTCTTTTGTAGTAGATGGAGTGGTACAGTTGCCGCAGGCATACTTTGAGTAGCGAAACGATAGTTCGAATTTGATACTGAATTGGATTGAAGTTAATGATTATTTTTCACGCTTCTTTTCTGTGCATGATGCGGGATAAGCCAAGGTTTCTCAAATTTTTGCTCAACCAAAAATCGTTGCGAATTTGCCATTGAAATTATTCTATGTTCTTCATAAGCACGATTCCTTCGTTATTGTGAAAATTTGAACGACACGCTAGCTTCTTGAATACAATGCAATTATTACAATTATAATTATTATTATTAGTTGTTAGTGAGCGTCATAAGCGGTTGGTGGAGCTTGTGATTTTGGCAGCCTGGCCACCGTCGGCGCTCCATGTATTTATAGTGACTCCGACGCTCGTGGTGCGTGTGTGATGCTTCGTCCCTGCAGCGCCTATATTTTGCTCACCGATCACACTGTTTGCATCGTGCCTTTCTCTCTCACAATTTGCCGTTGGCTCCTGTATTCCCTTTTACTTGTCAATGGTGTGAAACCTACTGCTTTTGTAGGGTTCCTAACGAACTAGTTTTCCCACTGACCAATCTCATTACTGTTTTTAATATTTCAAATAGCTTTCTATCGTTCCTGCTGTTCATACAGTTGTTATGACACTGTTACGAATTCGATTGAACGTTTACGTGTTCTCACCAGTTGAGTTCAGTCACGAAGTTGACCGTGATTTGCATTTATTTGACTATAATAGAGCCATGAGCTGCAGCCACATTATCCAGCAGTCAAGAGTAACCATGTCAAGGTCTCGTTCCCTCCAGCTGGTCATCGCTCGCCGGTCTTGCATAAGACGACTGCCATGACTTCCAGACCTCGGCTGTCTACTCGAGGTGATTTTGTGAGAAAGTAGCTTGTATATCGAACGCGAATCTCTTCACATTTTTCTGCTAGCGAACTCGATAAAAGATAAACTGTGTTTCTTTAGTTCGGAAATTAAAAGCTCTCGTTTTAATATTCTTGTGGAATAGAAAACACGAGCAAGAATAAAATATGAAACGGGATTCCCATTGTGTACCCACGAGGTTCACCAGCTCAAGTTCTCATTACCGCTCTCGAGTGTATAAGTTGTGTGCATCTGTACGAATAAATCTACAAATACTCTTTTAATATTAATTCACGAGTTGTACAAATCTGATAGTTCTAATATTTAAACCTTGATATTCACGCATTAGTGTCCCTGATGTTCATGCGGTCGCGGTCTCCTCCGTTTAGGCCATCGCTCTCCATACAAAGAAGAGGCTCCTTTACCGCCCTCCTCATTTGCCGACGCAGGATTGCGTTCTTATTGATTTTGGATTAGCGATCGACACCATGGCGTCGGCCTCAGTGGCATCTGGCGCCCACATTTTGATAAAACAGTTGAGGGGCAAAAATCCATTATGAGAACAATGTTGAGAAATTTTACCGTTAATTTTCATCTAGGAATTTAAGCCATTTGCTCTAATATCTCTTCATGATTTAGTTCGTCGCTACTTGTTGCACGCTTTCAAAGACATATTGGAGACACTAGAAAAAAGTAGACGGCATTTTTGTATAATTATTATTATTTGGGGGGAGGGGGTGGGGGGGGGGAAATTGGAAAAGGCTAATTGATATCGTTTGAATGTTGCCTTCCTTTTACAAATAGTGAAATGCAAATTCACTACCCCTAATTAACATAAAACTGTACACAATCGTTTGATTGGTTTGTGATGCGCTAGCTCGATCTTGGGGAGCCTGGGCTCGCTAATATACATAGGTCATGCAAATCACGTTCAACCGGCCAAGCGAGTCCATACCAATTCGTGCTGCAGTCTCTTCCTGATGTCTAGTACTGTTTAATATAGCAGATTGTTCAATGCATGACTGAGATTTTCAACGAAACGAAACTGGGTTGTAATTTACTCGTTATATTGATTGTATTAGTTTTTCCTGTCGTGAACTAAAATATCTATTTTTGGAACGGCTGCTCATCTTAGTCCATAGCTGGAATAAATATATAAAGACAGCGGATGAACCAAGACATATCATAATTTTTATTTGCAATTTTCAATTGTGCATCATTTCAATTGTGCATCTTAGTTTTCGGTGCATCATTTTACCACGAAACGTCGCTATTTTCCTTGTGACGTCTTCATCAGGAGCCAAAAGTAAGGCTCCGGCCGGTATCGATCCCTCAGTTTCGTGCGCTTGTAACATCACTTCCATAGTGATGTTACAAGCGCATACTTCCGTAGTGATGTTACTTTGTCACCTTCCTCGTATGTATTTGGTTAATTTTCTTTCAAATACAAGTTACACAAATAAATTTCAATCAGAGCTTGATTGTGCAGTTTATTAATAACTTCCCAACGACCGTCGCATTACTGCCGGCTGTCAGCAGTCGCTGTGACCCACATGTATATAACCCGTCCATTGCACTCATGCAGTGCACTGCTCAACGCGCCGCCTTCGCGAGGCTCGTTCGTTCTGTTCATTAATTGCACTGTTAAACGAGCTGCCCACGTAAGGGTCATTCGTTTCAGAAATTTACTACCTGCACGGTTTGGTTTTCTCTTCATCACAATTAGTTTGGTCTTATGAGAATTCTTCCTCTGAATTTACTCGGATAAGTTTAATGACTTTCGATGTAAGCAGAGGTGGGCAGTAGCGCGCTACATGTAGCGGTAGCGGCGCTACATTTAAGGCATGGTAGCGGTAGCGCCCGCTACATTTAGAGCATGTAGCGGTAGCGGCCGCAAAATTTAAGGCATGTAGCGGTAGCGCCCGCTACATTTAGAGCATGTAGCGGTAGCGGCCGCTACATTTCAAAGTAGCGCTGCCCAGCTCTGGATGTAAGTTTTTGCGTACCTGCTATCTTATCGATCGGCGGGATGAAGAGAAAAATATTTCAGCGAAAATTCATTCATATTCTAACTTAGAATGAATTTGCTCAATATTCTGAAAAATATATGTAATACGAAGGATTTTTGATAACACAAGATTAGTGATTGCGGTGTTGCCCTCTCGAAATTATATTGGAATGGAGTGGCGACGCGGACTCGAGTGGTCAGACCAGTTCCTGGTTGTCGGTCCAGACGTCTGCGCAAGGCTCTTGCACGCTCCCACTTTGCTGTATTACTTGGCTACCTTTGTTCACTTACTTGTTCCGATCGACTTACTTGTTCCGATCGACTTGCTTGTTCCGATCGACTTGCTTGTTCCGATCCGATTACTTGTTCCATTTCCTGGTTGTCGGTCCGTACGTCTGTGCAAGGCTCATGCAATCTCCCACTTTGCACTATTACTTGGCTTCCTTTGTTCACTATCTAAAGACGAGTGATACAGAATATAGAATAGCGCATTGAATACTAGGCCGTAGCGTAGAATTGTAATAAATTGTTGTTTGAGAAACTTAGATACGTACTAATACATTTCTTGCACTTCACATAGAATCAAAATACAAGTGTTGCATCCTTATTTATCAATTTTATTTAATTTGCAATACTAACGCTTCAGGGATCCTGCTCACCTTATTTTTATACTTTTTTCTCGTATGGTGCCTCCTGATTATCAAGTACACATTCTATTTTTCACGTGTCGACTTCGAACTTTTTAATATAGTACTCGTACGTTCCGATTTTTATTAATCCCATCCCAACGAATCTAGATCATTGTTACCTCAACTAACAGGAAGAATTTTCAAATACTGTGATGCTCGTTGGACGCACAATAGGTCTCTCTGTAGCTTGTTCTGGTAGAAATTTTCATCGATTGCGGAACGTATTGATGCATGATTTTGCTAAAGAGTGAGACTTATTTGTATTTATTTGTACGTCGCTAGTACGACTAAGGCCTAAACCTGTTGTGCGTAACTAAGTGAGCTCGCCATGCTTTTCAGCAGCTAGGAGACCAAGTATTTATATCGTGACGCGCATGAAAATGTGAGTCACGAGGGTATTTACGATGCGATATTGGCACTTCTTGTGCCGCGCAATGATGGATAGACTGTGTCGGACTAGCGCTGCGCTGTCATAGTCTGAAGCACTCTGCTCTTTTCCGGCGTGAGCATCAAATCATCCGGCATATCTTGCATATAACATGGTGAACAAATTTTTGTCTTTTAATGATTTGAAAAAATCGTGAGCATTCAGAAACTAATTATGAAGTTTTATCTTGCAGAGTGTTGGTGCTTCCTCCTCTATCAGCCCGCCACCGCTACCTGGCGCACCAGTTGGTGCAGGAGAACTACCCGCGCTTGCAGACGCTGAGTGTTGGGGTCGAGCCTGACCGACGTCTCACTGTCAGAGCGGCAGATGAACATCAGCTTCCTGCACAAGTTTTAAACAACATAAGTCATAAGTGAGCCAGTCTTCGCTGATGTGGTAGAGCCAAGGAACTTGTGTTTCCCTTCGTAAAGTTGTACTTTGCTTCGCCATTCGTTGTATTGGTGACGCTTCTCCTTAGAATCTTGTTGAAATTAGTTGTTTGTAAGTATTTGTTAATCGTACATGCCTGCTGTATTTATGTATGATTCAGTTGCACGTTACAAAAACTATCGAAGAACGATCGTTTGCATCGAATGGGTTTGTTATCGATCAAGCAATTGTTATCTGTTAATTATCCCGGGAGTGTCATGACTGATTGCCGTCACTAAGCATCAAGTTTCTTCTAATAATTTGTTCTTTAATATTTTTGCCTTTTCATTAATGATACTTTTTATAACAATCAGATGTTTCTAATTCTACTGAATCGAGTACGTGGGTGCTGCCTGCAACCCCTTCATTTGCGTACTTGGATGATTTATGCACTTATCCACATAAGCTGTCACTGACATTACCTTTTTGTTCTCAGAACAATAGTCGCCAGCATGACGGGTGATGTCGAGAGCTGCCCAGGGACTTCATCCTTCTCTACCTCCCCGCAACAACGTCAAGCCAGGAGATGTGAGAGAGAAATTAATTCTTTCTATTCTTAATTCTGTGGCGCACCAAATTTTTTTTTTATTCCTCATACATCTGGTATATTCTAAATTCTGTGACGTACCAAATTATTTTTTTTTTTTCATTCCTCTTAGCCTATTTGGACAAATTCTTGGTATTGTTCGAACCTTCTTCTAACTTGACCGATGAGCCCGTATTTGGTACAGATGATTACGTATCTGTCTTGAATTGTAATAAATGTGTAATCACATGAGCAACTTTTGTTTGGTGTACACATAAAATAGGTTTAAATGTTAGGAAGAATTTAGTTTATATTCTTCTATTCTCGTGCCTAAAGCTTCCGCTCATAGAATATCGCAGTAAATTGGTTGTTTGTATTTACTTAGAGGCTGTATGAAAAGATTAGTGGGTATTTAAATCTTAACATCGTTTAAAACACGACGGTAATTTTTTCCTTGTTGGAATCTAATAAATGTGTTATATAGTCAAATGGGGTAAGACAGGATCGCAGCCTTCATGGGGTAAGAAAGGACCAGCCCATGGCGTGCATTCTAATTGCACTGAATTTAATTTGACAAAAGAATATGTTAGAGCAATCAATAGCTTAGAAGCCTATTGCATAGATACACCTTGTGATATGTTTAGGATTTTTTAATTATTCATGGTATAGATGCTACGGGCTTGTTAGTGATTTCGGTCCTGTCTTACCCCATCTGACTATATATATCATTAACGTGAAAAGCTTGCTATGCTGTTTGTTTTCATGTTGATAATGTTTTCTGCAATGTAATGAAAATTTTTCATTTAGGCAAAATGACGGCTGAGATCTACAAACCTCCCGCTGCTCGCATGCAGCGTCGTCAACAGCCTGAACCTCAACAGACCCAACATCAACTGCCGCATCATCAACAAGCTCAAACTCAACACCCGCGACACCAGCCACCTTCGCAGCAGCAGCCTCAGGCAGCTGATCCCCCTGTTGTTAGTCTCCCCGCGCGCAATGGCGGTCATGGACCCAACCGTCGACAGCCGAGCGCAAACCTGAGACAGGAACCTGCATCCTCGACCGCACACAACAGAACGCAGCACCTCAAGTCGCCTCGCTCGGGCCGCAGGCCTCCTCAGAACAACCGTGTCTCTGAGAGCGACCACGCGTCGAGCTCGTCTCAAGTCTCGTCTCAAAACGCACATTCTGGTCACGGTGAGGATTCCATCACAGCGTCTATCACCTCAGATTCCAACCAAGCAAATTCAAACTTGAACTTTGTGAAGGAAAATGTGATTAATGAGTCGAATAATACAACGAATGATGATAACGAAAATGTGGAATTTGTTAAGGCTTCAACAAAGCCGTCCTGCAGCGATTCATCATCTGGTTTGTGTGCTAATGAAAAGCAACATTTCGATCTAAGGGACCATTTAGATCAAAAACGGCTCATGCAGAGCGAGGATATCAGAAATTTGAGCAACGCTGTTGAATCCTTGTCAAGCAAATACTTCAACAAAACGGCTGGTGCTTTCTACAAGAACAACCGTAATGAATACCACAACGCACAGTCACCATATGAGCGTACACGTCAACAGGATTGCAGTGATAAAGTCTTGGCTAATAATCATGTTAATTATCAGAACAACTGTGGAAAATATATGGGGGACCCCAGAAGGGCACGTCCTGATCAGGTGTTATACGTGCCACGGCCGCGTCGGCAATATGGCGTCGATAGCGAAAGTTATGGCAACAGCCGCGCCTCTCCTCTCACTGACCACAACTACCGGCCTCCGTCTCCTGCCTTCTCTATCACAAGCATCGTGTCCGAGTTCAGCGGGCGGCAGCGTTATGAAGGGGACAACTACAGTAGACCCTCTAGTCGTATGTCTATTTACGATAATGAAGACGAGAGGTTTGACGGAAAGCCTTCTCAAAACGGCAAATGGTACAACTCAAGCCGAGAGTCAACCCCTAGTGCGCACAAAGTAATGCAAAATTCATCCAGGCTTAGTCTAATGTCGATTAAGCTTATTGAAAAGACATTGAATAATGAGTCCGATCGCTCAGCGGACAGAAATGAAAGCGTTAATGGTTTCCCTTCCGATGTGCGGCACAGCAATAATCCTGAGCAGAAAAGTTGGGAGACTCAAAGTATGATGCGATCGCCCGTCGAACAAATGGGAAGAGCTAGTAAGAGTCCTACACCTAACCGTGACAGTGTTCATAGTAAAGAAAATGTCATAAATATTGTTGAATCCAGCCCGAGAAAGCGACGTTCGCGCAGAAATCGTAAGCGCCGATCTGGTAGCAGGGATCATAGCTTCGATTCGATGTCGCGAGATCAGCGTGGAAGCCTCGGCAACTTGAGTGTTCAGAGCGGCTACAGCAACAGGGGCAAGAACAGCGGCCGTGGCTACCACAGACCTCAGGATAATTCACACGCAGTCTACAACGGGCCAATGAAATATGAGGGCCCGGCTAGCATAGCCACGAGTCGTGTTAGCAGCCGCAATCCCAGCCTCGAGAGGAATGAGTATGGCCGGTGGCATCAACAGAAACCTGTGACCTATCCCAATACTCCGGTGAAAAGTCATTACTATACCGATAAGAATGGTTCCCACGATGGCGCTAATTCTCCCGAATATTCTTCTCGCTTTGATAGCTCGTTGTATCGCCGAAATTCCACTGATAAACCTCTATCTGCCAAACCTCCTTTTCACAACAACGACTCGAGGCGTAATTCAGTTTCTAATCGTGTGCCGGGATCCTGTTCTAGCTCAGCGCTTGGGACTCCCACTGAAAACCTTTCACCCACCGAGGAGACACACGAACAAATTTTCAGCCGAGTTAATCCCCTTAAATCTCAGGAGCAGAATGATTCTAAATTAGCAGAGAAATCAAGCGATCTAACTTGCAGTGGCCAAATAATCCCTTGTAAATTAGATACAACAACATGCCCAAGCACATCAAACGAGCTGAGACCCTCGGAAGGTCGAGTAAGCTCTAAGACAACGGACGGCCGAATGAGCCCTCTGACATCAGACGGCCAAGTAATCCCTATGACATCGGAAGGCCAAACAGACCCTAGTACATCGGATTGCCGAACAAGTCCTAAGACATCAGATAGCAATTCCAACAGTAATTCTTCAGCCAAGCGAAATGAATCAGAACTAGTCCGATGCAACAAGGAACTACAAGAAGTAACTGAAACCATCAGCTCATTACTCAATGATGAAGATGATGACGAACCGTTAGACTGGGTAGCGGAGATGGAGAAAGAAGACCTACGGCAGGAGAAACTCAGAGTGCTGAAAGAGCGTGAAGCAGCTCTGCGAGCTGAGGCGCAAGAGCAACAAAAACTGCGCTGTGAGAACATCGCTGCTCAACTGGACCGCGAAGATAGTTCTTGTGGCGTTGACGAGCAGACACGGCGCAGGATCGGGACTGCTATTGGTAGAGATGCCAACATAGCGCCGCCTCGTCAAGATTATGTGAGAGCTTTTTTACTATTCAAATGTTAATAAAGGTTTCCCAAGTCCCTGTTTTTTTAATGTGTACTTGCAGCACTTTGTTGAATTTTGAAAACATCTATATCACAATATTAATTATAATATTTTGGAATATATTTCTATCCTTTACAGATTATGAAATTTTGATATCCAGTAATACGACTTTTTCATGTGTCACAACTTTCATCTTATAAGTTGACCATTGAATTCACTCGATGCAAATCCGTTGAAATTATAAGCTTACGATTCTGAATTCTTTTGCAGAGTGCTTACGAACCGAGCCCTGCGAGGCAGCTTTACGTGCACCCACACGAGCGCAACTCTCCCTCCAGGCACACCGGCAACAGCCCGCCTCATCCTCTCCTGCGCAATGCTTCCTCCCCACCTAACAAGAGCAGCCCCAACTCCCACAGTTCTGGGGACTCGCCTGTATCAGATGACAACGGCGGGTGTCAGAGCGGCCTCGCTCATGTCCTAGAACTTTTTGATTTCCCTTCCAGCTTCCGCACCGCGGATCTGGTGGCCGTGTATCAAGGCTACCAGGCCGCAGCGCCTGTGGACATTAAGTGGGTGAACGACACTGCTGCTCTCGCTGTCTTCTCTTCACTCGCCATCGGTTTGTGGAATTGATGATTTTTGTAGCGCTGCGTTTCTTTGTAATGAATTAAATTGTCTATTGGGGAACTATCTAATTGTCTATTGAGGAACTTACTCTAACCTGAACATTTAGATACTTGCTTGTTTGCCGGCCAATGAACTAACAAACTAACTTGCATGTTTGCCTCTTCAAGAATTCAGAATAAATTTATGTATAGAAAATAAAAATCCTAATCTCAGCGTATGATGTTTTAAATACTAATGCTCTTGGATTCATTGCATGAATTTGGAATTTTAGCTGCTATGTCATAGTTTATTTAATTATCTCGGATTATTGAGCACCTAGTTTAAAATCTTATAGGCAGTACTAGTTTTAAAGATGCAAGATGAATTCACATGAATTCCTTCATTGCAGCCGAATGAATTCACATGATTTCCCTCATTACAGCCGAAAAAGCGCTGTGCTTGCAGCATCCCCACATCAAGTCGCGTCGCCTGGCAGATGCGTCGGCAGCAGCTAAGGCGAAGGCCGTGACCATCGACGAGGAGCTGTTGCCAGCTAGGCCGCGCCCTGCGACCAGCATGCTGCTCGCTCGCCGTCTGCTCACGGGAGCGTTGGGTGTACGCGTCAGCCTCAGTCGCGAGGAGAAGGAGAAGGAGGCCCGAGCAATCAAAGACGCTCGAGGTGGGCTCTACCGTAACACATTTTTAGCTGCACTAAGTTGCTCTTTCGCTGGATTTACGTTTTGAAAATATTACAATAAAAACTTAGAATGTATCGTTATAGGATTATAGCACGCCGATGTTATAAGAAGCTTTCTCTAAATGTTTTTTTTTTCTTATTTTGAACATGATTTTCTTGCTCCAAGGTGATTATCTCTCTTTTCGAAATAAGATACCCTTTAACATGTATTGATTTATGCAACTCTCTTATATCGAATTTCTAGTTTAATGTTATTTACAATGAACTAAGTATGTATTGCACATTTTGTTGAATCGTACATCAATAGTATATAATATTATTATTTCAATTTTAATTTTAAATGACGATGCGCAAGCTTTTACCATAATTTGCTAATTGGTTGTTGTTCAGATCGCAAGCGGATGATAGCTAAGCAGAAGGAAGACGTCTGGGAAGGCAACGTGTGAAGGCTGTTCGAATGGCTGCTTCTGACTCGCCCTTGTGATATTTGTGTCAAAACCTTACCGAGAAAATATTGTTCAAGTATTTACATGTGAGCTCCTGATTAATGACGTGCTCTCACCGTCTAAGTTGTATTCAAGACTGATATTACTGATGATAAACGTAACATTAGATGTACCGACCCGTATATTCATACTTAGATATACGTACCGAGAGGCATTCTTAAGCTCATATTTTTCAGTGTGATTTTCTTGTAGGTTTAAGCTATTTAAACTCTCCTGGTTCCTGGCTGATCCTCTGATGACTGAAAATTTCATCTGTATATTTTCGAACCATAAACCTCCGCTGTCGTAAGGAAGTATTTTCTACGTGTAAGATTTTTCTGTGTAAAATTGTACAATAGACGATGTCGATGTTTTAGGCCAGATTTCAAATAGCGACCTGTTCTAGCTGGAACCCTATTGTAATCTTTGTGTCAGATCAAATGATATTTTATTATTCATGGTGTTATTATGCTTAGCACCTATCATCATCTACCTTTATTACATACCTGCTTGGATATCATATCGAATGACATTACTTCTCTCATAATATGCCTGTTACAATTTCACTTATGAGTGATGTGCACTTAAAATAGAGCTTACATTTTTGGTGTTTGTACATTGCTGATACGTGGTCGTTCAATTGAATGCCCTCAATTCAGGAATTTCGTGCATGGCAACTAATTTTCTCGCTTTTAATTTGGATTATAATTTACTATTTAATTTTTACTCTTTTTTCGCTAAGCGAAGTTCTTATGATTATTTCTCTTACCTACGTTTGACCGTCAATCGTTTGTTGATGACTTGAGTTGCATGCAAATTATCGTCACTATTGCGTATAGCAACACAAATTCTAAACTCTTAACTTAATATCGAAGTAGCGTTTCTCTCTCTTACGATCAGTGAATGTTGAATGCTACTTCAAATCCATCGACAGATTTAAAGCGGCATGAAGTCCCTCTTTTCAATTCCTCCAACAATTTTAAGCAATATTGTAGGCTATCGTTGTCCGGAAGAATTGGTTAATAATTGGTCCGCAATAGTTCAATAAGAATTTCAAAAAGTGATTATGTCAGGTGTTACTCTAGTGTATTTATGTTCGTGTTTGCATCAATGTGCTGGTGGCTGTTGGTGTGTTGTAAATCAGTTTATGTAAATTCTTAATTAAATAAGTCGTTTGTGTTGAGCACAGTTGCAATAACCACATGACAATACATACTTGACCGCATTTTTTGTATTTCTCTTTCCTTCTCATCCTGTTTACGAACGCTTTAAGTACGTTAGTCATGACGAACTGAAACGGAGATTTCTGAGGTTCTCAATTGCACGGTTTTCCATTTCCAAGAATGTACGGTGCTTGCTTACAAGTCCCTCTGTAATTATTACTGCCATTGCGGATGTCATTATTGAGGCAAGCAATTCTTATCCCAGTCATTGATTAAAATTTTATGTTTGGAACGTAGAAACCAAAATTTGTGAATGGTCTTGAAAAAAACTTGGTTGTTTCGTTGTGCTTGCAGACCATTGCATCATAATCAAAAATGTTGAAATTATAGAAAAAACGCCCGGTTCACATGTGACCGCACTGAGAACCGATTTCGTAAGTGGTTTTTAGCCCATCACATATTTTATCATCTGTGCCGTATTAGGTGGCTTGTTTTTAATGCTTGCTAGGCCTTTGATCAACTTAATTTGTTTTAATAGTTGACTTTTTCCTGCTAGCTTTCTCATTTTCATGTTGGGTTATTCCAAAGTTGGAAATAAATAGGGAAAATAATATTTTTTGACGGCACATTGGCCAAAACGATTAGAAAACATAACTTAATTACAGCTTAACTATTTGTCTCCATTTGGGGGGAAATTCTTTCATCCTGGTTTCTATTATAACCTTCAGTATTAATGAAGACAATTGAAACATTGTATGGAATATTGCTTTTAATAAACATTCCGATTTGTGTCTTCCAGTGAGAGGGCAACTGCATTTTTAGCGCATTTTCCCATTTATGAAAAAAATGCACTATTGTTCTCGCCATGTCCGTCTGTCCGTCCGTCTGTCTGTCCGTCTGTCTGTCTGTCCGTCCGTGACCACGTTTTCGTCGACGAGAAAATGCGCTCTCTGTCACTCACTGCAGTGAGTACTGATTTATATTTTTTTATTAAACACCCAATCAATGCTCAATCATCTTTAGGCGGATCGCTCCTATTACCAATTTTAATGCTCTAATGCGCACGCATACCACGCAAAAATTTATCAAATTGAAAACGATCCTGACCTAAAAACATAGCTCTTTATCTACAATGTGTCCCTTTTAGATCTATCGGTATGTATATATATTTATTTTCGCTTCGTATTCGCGTACTTCACAAAGCGCTAAGTCAGTTAGACGTAAGAATGCGAAAAGTTGGTGTTTAGTTTAGTATCTAGTCAGTAATCACTACAACTGCGTGAAATTGCAACAACGGCGAGGAATCTGTGTGTGGAGGCAATTTCGAGCTGAGATTATTCAAATTGTATTACGGTATTGATGTATGCGGGATGTCTGAAATGAAATAATTCCTACAGTAAATATGGAATAGTAATAGATGATATTAACGTACAAATCAGCCGCATTTCGAATTGTGTCCCACGAATTTATGGCAGTTAATCTATCAAAACTTATTCAATAATGGGTTTAAATAAAAGAAAAAGGTGCGCTTGCTCATCAAAAAAAAACATTTGGTCATGTGTGTTCTCACTATTTTAACAGTCTATTCTAAATGTGCTGGTATAAGGAGTGGAAATGCCTTAGATGATACCGCCACTAATTTGAAGCACGACTGTGTGGCAACATTTGATCTGGGTCCTGTCTTAAAGGTTGGTCGAAGAATGGAGTGAAATAATCAGACGTCTGAAAATATAATTTTGAAGCTATTGAACCAAATTTTTAAGCTTTCTTGAAAATGTCTGCAAGTGCAAGGGTTTCTGCTATAAGCAAGAAAAAGAAGGTTAGTTTACGTTTTAAATGACAAATAATGGTTCGAAACAGGGAACCTCCGTAACAACTTGTTTATGTTCACAAGTTATGGTGTTAGCCTAACACCATAACCACTGTTAGGTGAATTATTGACGTGTTGTAAATTTTTGAAAAGTGGTATAATAAGGTAGTATCTCATATACCGATCTCTTTCCTTGGTTTTTAAGCGGCTAAAAATTCTGCAACCTGAGAAACAACTTGATGATGTAGCTACCTACAAACTTGAAGTAGGCTTACTCAATTTTTTCCTTACTTGTGTAATTGTGTTATTGTGTAGACTTGAGTCGACACTCCAGTAAGTAATGTTCAATTGCTCCTTGTTAAGATCTCAATGAATGACTCCAGTGTGCCAGTTTATTTGAAACAATAAATTTTAAGTAAGTAGATTAGGAAATTAAAGATGAACTGATTTTACAACATGTCCCTTCAGCTTCAGTGCTTCACTTCTTGTTTGTTTTCTACAAATCTTCTAAATGAAGTTTGGTAGGTATAGGCTACCTAAATGATATTTAACATGCCTATAATTGTCTAGTCGATCTGGAATTTTGCACACTTTAGTTAGTTTAGTATTGTTGGAGACAATGCTAAAATGAATTGACAGAATAAATAATTTTAAAAATTCAAAAAAGTTTTGAAGATCTTGAAAAATTGTTAAAATATTCATTTCATTAGTTAAAACAGGGTGCATACCTACCAATCATGGAAAATCTGGAATGTCCTGGAGTTTAATTTTTCATTTTCTAGGCCTAAAAAGTACTGGAATTTCATTTCAGATAATGGAAAATAGGTACTGGAATTTGCAAATAGGGTAAACGCAGTATATTCCGACATCGTAGGTAATTCCGTCACTTCTCTAGTTTTTCCTTTATATTAAGCTTTGTTTTAGTTCCATCAACTTCCATGCATTCGTTGATGGTTGAAATGGTGACGTCATACATTTGCGTGTCGAAATACTGCAAAAACACTAGTTCTTGGCCATCTAGTGGGAAAATATTGAGATCCAAAGAGAGACAATGCATGCCACGTGGTGAGATCNGTGATATCGAAAAGTTTGTTGGTATTGTCCAATCGTGAGATTTTTAAGATTCTGGATGTGTTTTATTTTTATTTTAGAATGTATTCATTGCAAAAATGTGTCCGCTAGCCTACAGATAAACGACTAGTTAACTTGATTCGGCGTTGGCAACACGGGATTGGATTTCAAACCACCCGCGATTTCGGAAGAGCGGCAGGCAGTTTCCAATGAGCTCAGTTTATATGATTTCACTGCAGTGGAAGGTGAGGTGGTGTAACGCGGTGGTAGGGTTGATTTTTCGATACGTTTTCATATATTAACATGAGAATATATTAACTATACAAAATTCCACAGTTTGACAGTTGACCTTGCTCCAGGTCTCATAGTGTGGCACGAGAGTCGTTGTAAAATTTATCTCAAGGTCATCTGGTCGTTGAACAACCGCATGCCAGTCGATAGTCGATAGGATTTATGCAGTTGATAGTCGATAGGTTTCTTCAGTAGTTCGATAACTTAACAATGAAAACACTAGTCGTTAATAATGAGATAACCTTAAGTCTATGTACATAATATTCTTTATATACAACAACACCTAACAGATAACGCATTAATGGTTTAATTTTTCAAACCAGCGGTGCCTTCTTAGCCTCTTAGGTTTCTTTACTAACGAATTCACCGCTTCACCTCACCGTAAATATTGTGCGTAAACAAATGCAAGCTTTCCCTAAAATACGGAGGTCACGCCTTACTCTTATCCAGAACTGCTTACTCAGTTTTAAATACTCAATCACCAGAATTATCAAACCTCAACTCTATTTAATATATTGCTACTTGCATTTGTTCGACAAATGCGAGCCACTCACAAATGGGATTCGCGAATTTCATATTCTCTCAGGCATATATAAGAATACCAGTTAGTTACAATGGGACCTCTGTTATTCACGTGCGTACTGCAAATTAAGCGTAACACATTCCTGAATCATTCATCACAGAGTGAATTTCAACAAATGAAATGATCTAAACGTAAAAATCAACCTTGTAAATCAAGTCACGACAAGTACAAGAATCGGCAACAGGACATGGGCCTATTTCTTCAGTGAATCGACACTTTTGCAGACCCGCCTACGGTCCTGGCTGCGGATTCGCGCAACTGAACCACTCACAAGTCCTTCAATACTGAACGAATTTGCTTGAATTTTATTTAATATGTGAGTTAGGAGTAAACATTATTGATACGCTGCCGCAGGAATTAATACAGATTGTTTCAAAAATTAATTTTTAATCGAAAACAATAAACATATTTTTTTCTCAACCCAGACACTCATAATTCCTTCAATAGAGAACAGATTTGCTTGAATTTTGGATTATGAATATTTAGTATCGAAACGCTGCCGCAGAAATTATTACAGATTTTTACATTAATTAGTTTTTAATTAAAACGAATAAACGTATTTTTTAAGCAACCTAACCATTCATAACTCCTTCAATACATAACGGATCTGCTTAATTGCTTAATTAAAAGCCTAATAGCTGTTAATTAAAACGTAATTTAGTAGTGTTCAATATTCGTTAGTGTTCTAATTCAAAGCCGTGTTGTATCCCAATACAGCTCACACAGCGAACGGAATTCAAATACGTTGATGTCGGCATTACGTATCAGTTAAATTTGAAGAGCTGACGCAATACGACTCACCACGTGTCAAATATTGCCACACATAGTGACGGAATATAGGGAGTTTCCATTCTAAAGGCTTTTTAATAAATATTAAGCATTTTAATGAGTTCACAGCTCGTAATTGGCTCTTCATGGCCTGGATATGGAATTACCAGATCAAAGAAATGGAATCATAGCTTGCAAATCCATAAAACCATGGCTTGGAAAATCCAGTCATGGTTCAGAGAGTAGATTTTTTCCTCACTAGCTCTAGATGAAATATCTCTTATTTAATTGTCTACAAAATTGCACAATCAGGCTGCAAGATTCCAACTGTATTGGAAATTTGACACTTAGAGGGCATGGTGTTTGTCATAAGTAAAATTCTAATCCTGCAGTGTGAATTATATGAATTTCTCTGCTTGTGCCTTGCAGGTAATTAATTTTTTTCAAATGACCCTTGCTACAATTTTCTGATGCAAATGAAAAGAAAAGCTTGTTTTTGCCAGCAATTATATTAGTATTAACTGTTGAATGTGCATTTCTACCTGCCATTTATGTCAAATTCTGCCAAATATTCTAGATTTGTCTGGACTAATGACTTGACTAAAGGAGATCTTAAGTTCTTTGAACTTGCACGTGTAGAAAAATCAATATTGAGTCAATTTTAAGTGTTGGCAGTTTTGGCAGATTTTGTCTCGTCTCGATGCATGTTGCATGGTAGGCATTTTGTGCTTATCTCGAGGCTTAACTGACAGCTGGATTAGGTCAATTTTTGTTTGAACCTTAAAAAAAAGGAAATTACAATTTATAACTGTTGTCCAATTTTTTTAGATGTTTCATATATTAACTTGCTAATCTGCATTTTGTTGGTGTGAAGAAAAATATGCCTATCTTTATTAAACAAAACTGATTTCACAAATTCTAATGGTGATAACTTGTGTCTGCTATTAATTTGTCTTCTATTTTAATTGTTCCCCTTAATTTCTAACAGATAATCGATCATTTAAAAGGCAATTGTTTAATCCAATTTGCTATGCAGGATCTACTTGATCTTTGTTTGCAATCCCGGTGTTTGCGATAAGTTAAACTCTGACTGCAAAGATCTCAATATAATCAAAGAAGAGCTATTGGCAGTGAACTAGCTACATAAATGCATGGCACTAAAAATTTGAGAACTCCCAAATGAATCTTTCTGCCAAATATCTAACATCAATTAGACTTTACTGACACAAAGAATGTAAACAACAGAAACCTCACAGCAATTTTAGTAGCTTGTGTTCATGTGTAATTTTTAACACGTTTTTAACACGTTTTTCTTAGCTTAGCTTTGCGTTTGTTTGTTAACACGTTTTTCTTAGCTTAGCTTCGCGTTTGTTTGTTTGTTTGTTTGTTTATTTGTTTGTTTGTTTGTTTGTTGTTAACATTGACAACGAAAATTAGCCCACATCAAATTTCCAAAATTCGTGTGTTGTGTGCTTTTCGCTTTAATCATAAATCTGCCGACACGCGTTTTTTGGGGCCAGCCATAATTTATTTTCTACTATTTAGTCCACAAGAAAAACGTGTTATTTTTTAAAAAGTTTTTTTAAGTATTTTTTATTATTTATTTTATTTTAATAAAAATTTATAAGAGTCAAGGATGAGATACCCAAGGGAGCAGTTGCCTTTCACCCCATTTGTTGTTTTTAGAAAATCCCATGCAAATAAAGCTAGTTTGTTATTGTGCATATGGATATGTGGTTTATGTATATTTTCTTTTCAGATGTTTCCAATTACAGAGATCACAAAATGCAAGTGATTGTTTATTTTTGCACGTTTGTTTTGTTTCTACCTTGAGTAACAATGAGCAACTTACCTTCTTGTTATCAATGTTTTTTCACTTTATTACTGTACTGACGGTTTATGTATTAGTTTCAAATGATTCTCATCCTAATTTTTCCCCATTTGTTTTCCAGTTTGTCAAGGATGGAGTTTTTAAGGCAGAATTGAACCGCTTCCTTACAAATGAGTTGGCTGAAGATGGCTACTCGGGTGTACAAGTGCGCCACACTCCTGCCCGTCGTGAGATCATCATCCTTGCCACACGCACGCAAAATGTGCTTGGAGAGAAGGGTCGAAGAATTAGGGAGCTCACTGCACTTGTGCAGAAAAGGTTTGAGTTTCCCAACAACAGTGTAGAGCTCTATGCTGAGAAGGTGGCACAGCGCGGTCTCTGTGCAATTGCTCAGGCTGAGTCTCTCCGGTACAAGCTTGTGGGAGGACTTGCAGTCAGGAGGTAAGAATCGTGTCAGAAGTTTATGAAAGCTACAGTTTGCAGTTTCATTTCTGTTGAGCCAATGACATATTCATAGTAAATAATTTAAATTCTGTTATCAGCTATTAAGATTATTTTAATTCACAAATTTTCATGTTTTGTGCCCTACTCAAAATTGATAACTTGCTGTAATTCAAGAAGTCAAATAATTAAATTATTCTGATTAATTTCTTAATGTGTTGTGTAACATATTTCTAAGTTTGGTTTTCGTGATCCTGTTTACTATTGATTTTGTTGACAGGGCATGTTACGGTGTGCTTCGCTTCATTATGGAGTCTGGAGCCAAGGGCTGTGAAGTTGTGGTGTCAGGCAAGCTGCGAGGTCAGCGTGCCAAGTCCATGAAGTTCACTGACGGACTCATGATTCACTCTGGAGACCCCAGGAGGCACTATGTTGACTCTGCTGTGCGTCACGTGCCTCTCAGACAAGGTGGGCTTCCCTGTATATTTATTCTGATATCAAAGAACCAGCTTATAGCATGTTTTGAATGCCTTCTGACCGCTGAAACTAATGTCGACTTAACCAATTTGTGTCTAAATCATCTCCAATATATTATTGGGCGTTCATCCTTTCTGATGTACAAGGATAATTCTGTCACCATGTCAGCTGAATGATGCGCCATGAGCTCTCTATTTTTTATTTCTGTTTATTCCAGCCAAACCACCATTTTATGTGTTAAATGAAAAAAAACTCTTAGAGTGAAGTTAATTTTGTCCTTGACAACTACCCACTGATCGCTCATTTAACCAAGTGTTCTCATCCTTGTGTAAGAGTAAAATTATCTGAATCTCTCCTTATCTTCGAGTTCGTATTTGGCAGAATCAGTGGAAGCTATCACACCTAATGAAATTAATTGATATTTATTTAATGTCCCTTCTTAGTGCAACTTGAGTTTGAGTTTAATTTATAACTAGCAGCGGTGTAACAATATACGTCCATACTAATACCTTCTCAATATTTGATAAGGCTTCTCTGTGGACGAGATTAACGTGGTTTATCTTGGTTTGGTGCTGCAATTTGCATCTACCTTCAATGTCGCCACAACATTTCTGTAGTATAACTTCATTTCTGTTCGAATTCAGTCTACGGTTACGAAGAATTGTTTTGATTCACTTTTCACTAATTTGCTTTAGCGGTCCCTCATGCTCTTGTGAGATGCGTGTTGGACGAGTTGTTTATTAGGTCAATAGGTTGGAGGGAAATAGTAACCTCCCCTCCGTGTGTGAAGTCATTGCTTATGACGCAACCTCACCATACAATAGGTCATGTTCGATTTGAAAAATATTTTCTTCATTTGTGGGCAGGAACTTGTTGGCACAGTTTCTAATACCTGCATGCATGAGAGGCGAGGATTCACTTAGAACTAGATCAATGCTCTTATCAGAACCTCGGTGACCGCGGCAATGTTGTAAATGGATCGCGGTATCATTTTTCTTACATTTGATAGCTTTTATTATGATTTTGACGTAATGCTTGATCCTCACAGTTTGATCAATCATTGCAATGACCGAAGCGTGTACACAGTTATATTTTTATCCCGATTCGGACAGTTTTGTACTGCAGCTATTGTCAGAGTAGTTGTTTTATGTGCTCGCAGATAGCACCTGTCCTATATCAGTTGAGGCAGTTGTTTGACCACGACGTCTTCTGATGATCTTGGATAAATGCTGTCCACATTCCTACTTTATTGTGCTTCAGTTTTGAGTGTATAAATCATATACTATTGCAATTTTAGTTTAGCTGGCAATTATTTTGAGGAACCTCGAAGCATTTCAGATAATTTGTATTTCTCATTTGCACATGTCACGTTTACTGACCACGGGTTAATGAGTAATGATCAGGAATGTTATTTTATGTGTTAGTAGAGTCACATAATTTATTTCAGTTATATTTTCCTGTTAAAAGTGACATTGAACTTGTGTTCATTTATTAAATTATGTTTGTCCTCTTCGATGCCATCCGTGCAATGCTTGGGAGGTTTCTATGGGGACGAGAATAACGTCAGCTTGCAGCATGTACTTAGATTCGTCTGATTACTTGACTGCGCTGAAACATGTATTGTATCGTCATAAAAATCGCGAATAATATGAGCAGGAGTACCTATACATCAATATTATGGCTGGACGCTTTCCTCTCTCGATAACCACACTATCTGGTCTAGTGATCTATTACATTTTAGAATTTAGATTGTGCTTGCATCACTATGAATTTAACCATCCTGTATGTTATTTCAAGAAACTGACTTCTTATTTGCGGACTATTCATTCACTTTGATTGGTGCCTGCTTTATTTTTAATTTAATCATTTGCTTTATTTTTAATTTAATCGTTTCAGAATTCTTAATTATTTGTGTGAAGGTGGAACTCGAAACGATTGAATTCGTCCATTCTAATACCGTCTCACTGTGTGGGAAGGCTTCTCTGTGGACAAGATCAAAGTGGTTGCTCATTGATGAATTCGCACTCAGTGAACATCGTAACTGTAGCCACAACATTTTACTGTTAAAGAACTTCTTATTTTCGTTATAATAATAGGTCTGTTAATGGATGTGTTATCATGTGTATTTATTTTCTTTTACTTTCGTCTAACTTAATATAAGGAAGGTTCCAATTAAAAATGCGGGCAAGAATTAGTTGCTCGTATTTCGTCCATTCTAATACCTTCGCTCAAATCGCGTGAAGGCTTCTCAGTGGACAATAGGAAATGTGGTAGCTCGAATGTCAGAGTGTTCTCTCCAATTGTGACGCACTCTGATGTTACCTCGACATAAGATTTTTTTCGCACATGCATTAATGCAAAAAATTTGGCATAATTATTTTCTTTCTTTGATTCAAAATGTTACCGATATTTTTTAAGCCAATGAATAGGCATACTATCGTGGTGCAGAAATTTAATGTATCGTTGACTTGGAATTTAATTCCGACTATCTCTAATTCCTGTCTGTATGAACGGAGAGGCATCTGTGATCTGTGTAGACTAGGTTGGCGATTGGTTTATAACTACGTGTGGAACGCGTCAGATTTAATAAAATTATCCGACAGAGCAGTTGACCTGTGATCGAAAATCCGACGACGACGATTTGTAGCACATAGTTTTATTTTAACCTGATGATTATAATTGAATGATGCTTATTTTTTACTTCAGGTGTGCTGGGAATCAAGGTAAAGATTATGTTGCCCCACGATCCTACTGGCAAGAACGGTCCCCGCCTGGCGCTGCCCGATCATGTGAGCATTCAGGACCCGAAGGAAGAGAACTTGCCTACCGAGCCGCACTCGGAGAGCAAACTCGAGAAGCCCATGCTCCCCACCGCTGCTACAATGCAACAGCAGCAGCCCGGTGGTCTGCCTGCTTGAGAATAAAGCTTGTGCTTGAAACCTGTTTCCTTGACCTGATTTCTGGATAATATGACGGTTAGATACTCTTCAGGCTCTGGTCTAGTCGTGTTTTTGTTGACAGGAAATCGTGGTCCATGTTCATCTGAGAATGTATTATTTAGAAGTATTAATGAAACAAAGCTGGAGTTGAGGTGCGAGTAGTTATATAACTTCTGAAAATCTTTGAGAATTTAAACTTGATATTTTCCACTCGCGTGTGGCAAATATGTTTGTGCTTACTTGTCGCATGGTACGTTAACCCGAATTCATTTTCCAATGTTAATTTTATGAGCTTTTTATTTTTACCTCTAATTACATATCAGACTCCACCCTCAAATTGGGTCCCACGGAAATATTGCTAGTTAATCACGAGGGCGCAGAAACTTGCATAGTTCTTAATGGCAGATTCGTTACACGTGAGCGTAAAATAAAAGTATTACCAGAAAATGATACTCCACAGTAACATGATAGCTCTGACCTGTCTGCTTGTGCATGTTAGTTCAAATTAGTATTAGGGTACGCACACAGTGAAAGCAGGTTTGCCCGCGCGGGCAACCGGCTCCAACCTGCCACAAGAATGAACATAGGATGATAATGTAAGTGTTCACAGTGAAAACCTGTACGAATAGGCTTCTGTGTTCTATGGTTTCAGGCGCCAGCTTGAGCAGGTAACCAGCACGCTGGCAACCTGCTTTCACTGTGCGCGTGCCCTTAGGGGATTGATAAATGAAAGCATTTGATGTGGTAAACTGTCTGAAAGCAAGGTTGATATTGGGTCTACTGTTTTACTGAGTAATGTAATCTGAGTATTGTTTCACCGAGTATAACAAATAATACTGAGTAAAATTTATTATATAGTGCAATCGCTTTCTAATTTGCAGCAAGATACGGAGATTCTCTTCGCTTTTTACTTCCATGTTTTCCAAGCCGCGTGACTACTCTCACCCACTGCAGCGGAACACGACGTCACTGAGCGATACGTAGTGTCCAAGGTCTACAATTGCATTGAAATTGCGCTGCGTTTGTGGAACGTGTGCGTTGTAAAATAACGATTTAACTTTATTCACATCCAAAATTTACTAGGATAATCGCAAGGCCGTCTCTTCATTCTTGAAATATCTTTCACAATATGACTGCAGAGCAGTGAGTCCATGAGTGACTGAGTGGCGGTCCTTGCACAATTGAGGCTGCACGCCCGCACCGTACTGTGACTGTCTGTGACCGTAGGTTCGTAGCCAATAGCCATCGTCCGTCGTTACTGACAGGGTAGAATTCTAAGAATGGAACTTCGAAGTTAGCTTTTAGGTTTAGGCTAGCTAAATATTATGCTTTTGGCACTTCTAAAGAATCCAGCGTCTCTGATGACTGATGTTAGATTGTTGGCCACCTACGGCATCATAACACATGTAAATCCACATTAAAAAATTAATTTTTGGATTTTATTTTTAAAATTAAGAAATAAAATGTTCAAAATTATTTATTCTGTAAATTGATGGGCATGCTTTGTCTCTGACTTCACGCAAGTGTGCAAAATTTCAGGTCAATTGGACAGGTAGGCTGGTTCGCTGGTAGCCTGGTAGGGCCGTAGGCGTAGGGGGCCTAGGCCTAGTAGCTGGTAGCCTGGTAGCCTAGCCTAGAAGTGTGTTCAATATTGATTATTGATTAGACCTATACATTTAGGTATACCTAAGTTATGTGGGAGACAAAATTTTTTTAATATCAAAAAATAAAGTTTTTTAATACCTAGCTAGCTATCTTGGGAGTTGGGCATGAACCACTATGCAGAGGGTGGATGCAGCGTCGGCAATATATGGATTTTTAAGCCCAAAGCGTCGCCGGCCATTTTAAAGATGCGTCGCCGGGTAATTTTTGATGGAAAGCCATTTACGCTGAGTAATGACGAACTATTTACAAGCCACGAACTTATTACAAGGTTGCATGCACGTGTTACCCCAAATAACTAATTTTACCCTAAAAACAGTCCGGTTGTACAGCAAGTGTCAACTGAACAAGTAATAAAGCAGTCTGACCGCTCTAATGCGACCGAAACTACGCAATCGAAAAAATGTTGTTTACATTTTTTGCGGGAACTCATCGCAACTGATTTCCGGACAAGCTTCGCTGCATCGTAATCCATCCAACGTACCGGAAACCTTACTTTTTTTCTAAATAGTTGGCTGAAGACTGAGAAATATATGAAATGCAAGAATTTCAATCTAAATGTGTCGGCAAGATCTTCTGAAGGCGAAAATTTTGCCGATAATGCGTCGCCGTAGGTCTTTAAATCTTCGTTCACTCTCTGCACAGTGGGGCATGAAGAGGCATATACGATCTGCAAACTTGTTTGCTAAGTTAATAAAATCACTTGACCGCTTAACTTGCAACTTTATGAAAAATTAAAAAAAAAATAACCAGAAAATTCACAAAAGAAAAATGTTTTGGATACCAGCTCCATCTTCAGTTCCAAAACCTAAAACACAGTTACAACTTACAAACAATTAACATTAAATTCACATTGAAGCATAAATTGCCAAATGAAAAACAAATAAGAATGAAGTAAATATGGGCACTGGGCAGACAAACCTATCTATTTATAATTTTGATATCTCTAGATATCTCATTCACCAAATTTCTGTATCAAGAAAATTCATATATTATTGAAAGATAATTAAAGGCATACTGTACTGAGTATTACGTCTGTTCCTCCACAAACTGCTCGTGCGCGGCAGCGCGACGTAGAATTGATGGCCGGGATTGCGCAAACACGTGCGCGAAGAGAATCAATTTTCATTACATTGCGCCAACTGTGCACAGCAATAGCTTAAAAAAGTGAAAATGCGCGGGAAAATTCACCGAAAACATACAGTCATACATCATCCTGAGTGTGGTCCGCATGGAAGATATCTACTTGGTGAGCCGCGAATGAAATTTTGGAGCCGTGGTTTTACGGATTTGCCAGCTGTGATTCCATTTCTTTGAGCCCTGATTCAATTTCTTTAAGCAGTGAATTTCATATCTCAGCCATTAAAAGCCATTCACGAGCTGGCAGCCGTGAACTTTTTATTAAGCCCTGTGCATGTGTTACCCTTAATCTCTCATTTTTCCCTAAAAACAGTCAACACTAACATTTGTCTTCACTTGATTGGCAACTGATAGTCTGATGATCTGATCACGTGTGCAGTCTTACCCCTCTGATGTGACTGCAACTATGCAATCTATACAGAAACATTTTAGGTTGACTTGTTGTTACATTGTGCAGGATATTTTGGTGGGATCATTGAGCATAGTGGCAAAGCAGAGAGTTTTTTAGACTCTCCCTCAAGTTCATTTTTGAGTCCCATAAGTAGACCAGTAAAGTATCCTGGATAGGGTAAACGCGGTATATTCCGTCACATTAAGGACGCATCGAGAAATGAAAAACTATGAAAAAATAACCGTATGCGTTACTCAAGTTCTGTTTGCTATAGGTGACTCTCAAAACACCGTACTACGCATCGGCAACAATGAAACGTCACAAAATGTTGCCATATTTATATAAAAGCCTTTAGAATGCAAACCTACCAAATCCCTATATTCCGTCACTGTGTGTGGCAATATTCTGCATGTGGTAAGGCGTATTCCGTCCGCGCTTCAAATTCTACTGATACGTAATGCCGTCATCCACGTGTTTGAATTCCGTTCGCTGTGTGAACTGTATGGGAATACAGCAATCCCTTGATTAACGTGGTTAATAAATTCCCCAGTTTTACCGTGTTAAGCAAAACCGCTCTAATCAAACTTAAGAATATATGGGAATAATTATAATGAATCCTCAAAAATAGCAAAGGAAAGGAAAATTATGTAGTTTGATAAAAGTGAGCAGTAGATATGGCAGCGATCTTGACCGTTGAAGGCTAACGAGTAACTAGCCCTTTACGCACTGAATTATGTTTCAAAAGTGAAAAAAACAATCTGAATTACTTTTCAGATCACGTGCAGTCTTTGTGTTGTACTGGCAGTAGCGGCGCGCCTACTCCATCGAACGTCGTTCGAACGAGTTCACAACATGTGACGCTACTGTCACACTCGCGGCTAGACTCCAAACATGTAATTACTCTCGGTAGAAGCTTTTATAGTGTGCATTGTCTCTCTTTGGATCTCAATATTTTCCCACTAGATGGCCAAGACCTAGTGTTTTGGCAGTAGTTTGATGCACAAATGTATGACGTGATCATTTCAACCATCAACAAACGCATGGAACTAAAACAAAGCTTAATATACCTAAAGGAAAAGCTAGAGAGGTGACGGAATTACCCATGATGACGGAATATACCTCGTTTACCCTACCACATCATACCAGCATTATCATACTTAAGAAATTGGTTTAAATCTTGAGTAAATGAGGAAATTAAAAATGAACTGATTCTAAAAAGGCTCTAGTTTGAGTTGAATTTTATGAAATGACATGTTTGCCGAGTGCAAACCATGATTTTTTCAATCAAACAAAAATACATGACATTAGAGCCTGATATTTCATATCTACCTACTGAAATAATGTGATATTAGAGCCACAATAATTCAGAAAAAATAGGACTTTTCCAGCCCTGCCGATCATAGAGGCTGAAATTTGAAAATCACTATCAGACACTGGCACTTTGTACTGCTTGGCATGTACGTGTGCTGCTGAATGAGGGAGATGTGCAAGCAGGTTTCCTGTTCTAAAACTCCTTCCTTTATGCTCCACTGGCCTAGTTTTAAAGTTGCAAGATGTCATAACAACATACGCAATTGCGCATGACGCACTACTAAATTATTAAACTAGGCATGATTGCATAGGAACAGGGTGATTAGATGGTATTGTATTGCAATGCTGCTCATTTGATTTTGCTCAAATCTGACAAATGTTTTTTTTCCCAGTTCTATGATAATGGTAGAAGTTTGTGATTCATCATGGCATCATATCAAGGTAACGAGTTTGGTTCAAGTTTTCCTGGACAGCAGCCCCTGTATGGCCCCGAGTATGGTGATGACCTGGCATCTGGCTTCTCCAATGACCTGAAGCCCAAGATTCTCCTCATGGGGCTCAGAAGGTGAGATGAAATAGCAATTAGACCACAGCCAAACTTCACTATTTTTTATAGTATGGATATTACTTTTATTTGCTGAACATAGTTTTGTGCTTAACTTCATTCTATAGATAATAATGAGTCAAGAAATCATTTTAGAGTCAGTTTTTGATTTTGAATAGGTAGATTTCATTTCAATGAAGAATTTACTGGTAGAAGTTGAAGTCTAATGACAAACGCTAAAGAAAATGGATATTTTCTGTCCCATCAAATGAAACCAAATCAGAAGATTGCAATTTTTTTCATTTTCTTTTGTTTACAAATATTAAATTTCATCATGTTAAGCAGTTATAAATCCCACTATTGGTTGCTTGCCACTGAATTTTTTGCTGAATGTAAAGCATGACTTGACTTCTGAGGATGATAGTGTGTCAAAGTAAAAGTTCTAAAATCATTTATTATTTTTAATGCATGAAAGTGAACTTATTACATTAATTGACATTTTAGTGTCATTTTCAACATGGACTTTACTGGTGAAAATTATTGTCTTCATGACAACCATTAAAAGATAAGATATTCTATGAACTGTCCAATGAAAAAATCAGAATATTGGTATTTTCTTATTTGTTCATTTTCATTTGTTGACAAATATTTATTGTAATTTAGGTGAGAGGTTGGGCATCCCAATATTGATTGCTAGCTGCTGAATATCTTGTTCATTTTCCAGGAGTGGCAAGTCTTCAATACAAAATGTTGTATTCCACAAAATGTCTCCCAATGAAACTCTCTTCCTGGATTCAACAAACAAGATCACCACTGATGACATCACCAACACATCTTGCGTGCAGTTCAAAATATTGGATTTCCCTGGACAAATAGATTTCTTTGATCCCTCATTTGACTCTGAAAAAATATTTGGGGGAGTTGGCGCCTTGGTTTTTGTTATAGATGCTCAAGTGAGTTTACTGGCCAAGAAATGTATAGTGCCAATAATAAAAAAATGATCAGAATTGGATGATTATTGATCAGGATTTCTGATTCAGAATTGATCTTAATTTCTGCACAGTTATCTATTTTTTTCTGGTTAATGCCTGTATTTCCAACCATGCAGACATTAGCTTGCTCAAATAACATAATTATGCAGATCAGTGACTGAGAATATATGTTTTTTTTCAGCAATAACATAAATGATTTATCAATACAAATTATTAAGTGATCTTGATTCTTGCCTATTCCACAATTTCTATGATAAATCCACAACTTGCAATAATTTGTTATAAGTTTTCCATAATTGTTCTAAATGTTTTATCTGACTGGATTTCAGGATGATTACATCGAGGCTGTTGTTCGCCTAGGGGAGACAGTGAGCAGAGTCTACAAAATTAACCCCAAGCTCAAGTTTGAGGTTTTCATCCACAAGGTTGATGGCCTAACTGATGACTCAAAAATAGAAACGCAGAGAGACATTCATCAGAGAGCTTCTGATGATCTACATGAGGCTTCTGTTGGTTAGTTATTTTCTTTGAAATTTTATGAAAATTTGATTTTTGTCGAGGTAGATTTATTGTAGAAAAATTCTGGATTTTTGTACAGATGAATTTGTAAATTCAGAAGTTTAGAATTGTGGTTGTTTAATTGGTGAGTGGAATTTTGAGTTACCTTTTGTATACATACCTTAGAATGTTCTACTTGACGACTTACTATCACGTCTGCTTTGCAAGCAAGGAAGCTTCCTAAATGTGTAATGTAGTTCAGTTGTCCAACCATTGGAATTATGATTGACACTTTATAGTCTGGTTGTTGATGCCACATTAAATTTACATATATCTTCAACATGCAACTTAATTTTACATTGAATAATTTTTCTTGATCATTTTATAAAATTATTTAAATGCTACAATAATTTTGCTGTAATTTAATCTGATAAATTTGCAGGTATCCCTGGACTCGAAAACGTGCACCTGAACTTCTATTTGACATCCATTTACGACCACAGTATCTTTGAAGCATTTAGTAAAGTGGTACAAAAACTGATTCCTCAACTACCAACGCTCGAAAATTTATTAAATGTATTTAACACGGTATGTTGTCATTCAATTTGATGCTCCATGTTGTTGTTGTGGTTCCCCGGTCTCACTTTTACAAGAGACCCCCTGATGCTCATGTTGAATATACCTCTCATACCAATAATAGTTTTTCCCATTGTAAAAGATTTAATGCATAAAAATTACATTTTAGTTAACAACATTTTTTAATTAACCCCTGTGATCTTAGATAATTAAACTTTTAATTAAAATCATGATCATGGTCCCCTTTATCTACGCTGCGTTATTGAATTTATACGAGGTTATTTTCATTCTAGTAACATGACTCTGCGTTTTACATTTCAGAATTCTGGGATTGAGAAAGCCTTTTTGTTTGACGTGTCTTCCAAGATTTACATCGCTACTGACTATTCCCCTGTGGACATGCAGAGTTACGAACTATGTTGTGATATGATAGATGTTGTTCTTGACATCTCCTACATATATGGGTGAGATTTAAATTATATGTATGATACTCTTCGCTAAATAATAATTACAAGACGGAAATTATTTTTTATTTGATTCAAGTGGACAATTTTTTTACATAACCTTCCTTAGGAGTGATGGATTTCTTCTAATCCTTATAATTAATTCGTCTTTTTCATATGTTGGTGCTCTTATTTGCGTAAAATTTACTCGAATTGACGATTTTCATTGGTAATTTGTTCATAACTTGCCTCATTCTATGTTCCCTCTTTGCAACTACTACGCTATGAAACATTTCTGATACATGCATTGTGACAGGATGGAAGAAGAAGGGCCGGATCACATGTCGTGCTTTGACCCTGCCACGTACAGCGTCATCAAGCTCAACAACAACACAGTACTGCTGCTATGGGAGGTCGCTCGATACCTCGCTCTAGTCTGCATACTCAGAGAAGAAAATTATGACAGACCTGGTGAGATAAGCCCTCCTAATCATTCTCAATATAATCGGTTAGCAATATTTCCCTTTAAATTTAGGAGTCTTTAAGATAAGGTTCTGTTACATCCTTGTATTTTCTTCTTTTTGATGCAACTCGTTAAATTATATGGTCAAATTTCAAAATTTTTTCTTGACTTTGAGACTCCCTCGGGGAAATTGGCGCTGTCACTGAATAAATTATTGATCTTAGGTTATTGTCAAATATCATCATTTGTTCAGTGTTTTAATCGATGATGATCTCGAGCGAAGATGAATACTATCCTTCTTGAGGATGATGACTTTCCTGAAAGCAAATTCCAACAAAGCTTAGATTTATTTCACTGAAGGACAAAAAAATGCCTAGATTGGTTATTTGATCTTTCAGAATGATTTGTGTATTCACTTTAAGCTGAAAAATGCTCTTCCCTGCAGCTTTTGTGTAAGGGTATTTACTCAAGATTAACTTTCTGCGAAGTTAGGCGCGAATTTATTTCAATCTATCATCAATTTTTATTTACAGGTTTGATTGAATATAACTACCAATGCTTCAGGAAAGGACTCCTTGATATTTTCGATGTGAAAAACCGCCATTCTGACTTCGAGCCATTACAGCTGGATGGAAAGTCTAAATTGAACGTAGGTCAAGGCAGTTCCTCAAAGTTGGAGTTGGAGCGCGGCAAGAGCGATACTTATGCCCAGAGGCTTGGTTACGAAACTCTGTCCTCTCTTGGAGCCCCTGCCCCAAATACGGCGCAACACCGACGCTCAGAACAGAACTTGTCTGGCCACGGCTCTGTCGTAGACGGACTGCAGCAAGACAAGATGACGTCCCAGTTCTTCGGAGATGACGATAGTTGTCACGGGGACGCGTTGAGAGCTGAAGGTTGCAGCGGCGGACATCGCGTTCCTGGAGACGGAATGCTGCGATCAGCGAGTGAGGATGGCGCGAGGGGAGGCGCTGGTGATGGCGACGCGAGAAGACAACAAGCTTCTCACCGCCCTAGTGCCAGGTATGCCAGCGAACAACAATACAACAAGCTGCCTAGCAGAGCAAATTCTGGTGGCGCGGCTGTGCAGGAGCTCATGCGTGGCTATGTTATCAGAGCGGGCGGAGGTAGCGCTGCTACCACCGGCTCCAGTGCCCTGGCCGGAGGGTCGGCTGTTGGCAACACTTACGTCATGACTGATGACGCTGGCATGGTTCTGGTGAATGGAGATACCGCCTCCTCTGGAGTCTGTTCCTAACGCCTGGCTAACACGAATCGACTTTACTCAATTGTTTGCTCGAAATGTAATTACAATTTCGTTGTAATTATAATGGAAACTCTTCCCCACTTCAGGTTTATATGGAATAATTAATGGAACTAGTTTTAGTGTCAAATTGGACGATAATGACGAACATTCGTATTTTACACAACGATTCGTATTTTACACAAATAATCGGTGTATAAAGTGGAGGGCAGGTTGCCTCGCTCTTACAGTCACAATGCCTCATGTCTTTACCCTGCTGTAAGTGTACTCTAGATATTTTTGACATCTTTATAACTTAATATAACTTATAACTTGATTCACTGTCCTCTTTTCTCTAGAATAAAGGCAGGTGTGTGTACAGTGTGTAAAATATGAAAATAATTGTGTTACCTAAGCTCTACTAAATCTATTATTTTGAAAAGAGTTCTTTTATCTATTTATACAGAACAAATCTGCCTTCTTCTTGTAGTATTGCAGAAAACAAATAAAATTTCAATCTGTATTACTACTACTTTTCATTTGCCTTCATCATGATCGACACTTAAGATCTTTTGTACAAAACTTTAGCGCGACCTCACTTGAAATGTATGGTCATTTTTTAAAAAATAAGAGGCTATAATAAATTGGCTAACTAACGAGTATATAATCAGTTGGGTTTTATTGTGAGTTTGTAGTAAGACTATGAGGGTTTTATTATTTGGGTTGAGAGTAGTGAATTTAAGACAGTTATCCATAACGGCATCTGGCCGGAGCATTGCCACAGCACTCTGAGCCTCAGTGACGGACAACCAACCTGCAGCATCTGGTCCTCTTCTGAACTCTCGCCGAGACCCGTCCTCCGTGAGAAGACGAGCTGTTGCCGTCGCCCTCAGATCTCACACCTCAAGACTGCCACCCCAGACGCTGGAAATTGTCACGGACGCACGCTGGAAGTTTCACTCCATAGTGAAGATGTGGCGTCGTTGGCAGTAGTAAGGAATCTGACTGGTGGGCTGTCTCTGAACCGTACTAGAGGCTGGAGTTATGTTCAATCTTCAAACTTGGATATGAAGAAGAGAGGAAGGTTGCCCACATAGAATCGCTAGAAATGTTGGGAACTGTGGCTAGCCAAATTAACATAGGAATAACTCAAACGACAATCTTCCCACTGAAGGATTTTATTAGTCATTATTTTATTAATATAGTAGTAAAATATTTTGTTTAGGTTTGGTGATATATCAAGTTGACATTTTTCTCTCCTCTGCAGCACGAACCACGTACACGCCAATCACAGCTAGCAGCGCGTTCAATATACGTGCGTCCGGAGTGCCACCTAACTAATAGTCACATTAATCTCTCAATTACACACCGTTCTGGTAATGAAGTATAAATTTGCGCCGTGCAAACATCGCTGCTTTGCTACAACACAAGCTCGACCATATGTGACGACCAGACTTCAGTAAAGATAAGTAATTTCCAATATTGCCTTTGAAAACCTGAGAAGAAAATAAATCATTCAGCAATCGATCTTTCGATTGCCAGGTTACGCAAATAAAGAAAGAACTGGACTAGTTCTGGTAAATTGAGATATACTTGTTACGATCATGATGATCTGCATTGCTACGCCTTTGAAGCGGGTTGCGAATAAAATTATTACATGCGATGTACTCATTATTAAAATTATTACATGCGATACGCCATATAAACCACATCATCAATTTCGTTTTACTGAAACCAAAATTCAGACGCGGAACTTTCTTGAACTATTTTGAAACTATTACTGTCATTGACAGTACAATTATCCGTAACAAGAGAGTGTGGATCTTATTTGAAATTTGGTTTCTCCAGACTTTAATGAAAAGTCAAACTTCATTTTCCCGCAGTCAATTCGTCAGAAGGACATCATAGTTCCTTCGGACAATGCACGAGAGGTTAACAGTTCCTACAATGTTAACAGTGATGCGAACGTGTGGAGTCATTTGTCATGATTTGTGACGGTATTTTTCATGTTACACAGATATGTATTTCCAGTGTGTAGAGGTAAGAGACGAACCTCTTACATATTTCCCGTATTTAAGAGGTTCTTCATTAATTAACTAATAGTAATTAAATATATTTATATAGATGAGAAGTTTATTTCATTTCAAGATATAGTTACCCATTTCTAATCACTTGGAATGATCTCAATTTTTTGCCGATTTATTAAAGTCATTTATCAGTTTTTTTAGAGCATCAAGATTTGGTTATATATAATGCCCGTGTAACTAAAGGGTAAAGTGTAACTAAATATGTAATAGTCTAAATTCATGACAAGACCTCTCAACAGTTAAAACATTAAGACCACACGCAGAACCTACGAAAGGCGTATTTTTTAGGTCGCACTTTTTTACAGAACGAATTGCTCTCAGGAACTCTTGGCTAGCCGTCACTTACTTGAGTTTATGAATGAACGAAGTTAAATGTGCGTTGGCGACAGAGCTCCCCAAAGTGGCAAGTCTAACCAGCGATTTCCTGCCGAGAATGCTCTCAACGCATCACTAAGAAACGACCGTGAATAAGACGATTTGATCACAAAAGACGAAGCTGGGCAAGCACGAATGTTGCGTCTCTGTCATACGTCAAGATGGTGGTGTGCGACGTGCAGCCCTCACTGCGTGAACGAAGACGTGGCCACTCCATCTCCTGGCCTTCATTCGTTTGCTCGTCAAGCCTTCGTGATCAGAGGATTGGCTGTGCTGCCACTCCGCTCACTTGCTTCGCGCTCTTGCTTCATGAGCACCCTGAAATCTTTACTTATTCAATTATAAATTAATATCCTTCTTACGATCCCTGAATTAGTGGTTATTTTATGCGCGAAAATTATTAGTTTTCAGCGGCAGACAGAAATTATTCAAAACTAAACTCGATGCCGATTGGAATTTAGACTTGCCACATAAGATACTTCTTATGAGAGCAGTAGAAAATCTCTTGCCATTAGGTTTTCGTAGTTGACTATGCCATTAGGTTTTTCAATCCTCAATCAAAACAAGGGTTATGTTCACGTCCTAATGACATCAATAGGTTATAATGATTCCAATTTTTGGCCGGGCACACTACAAGGTATTTTATGAACAGGCTCGATTCTAGCCAATTTGCGCGGCAGCCATGATAGTTTTCACCATGAGTTTTCTTTGTTTATTTATCGTACCATCATCAAGTGACGAGTGTTTGCAAGTCATGGTCGAGCATGATCTGCTGCATCACGTATGAACCAGTTTTTTTACCAGAATATTCCACTGCAGAATTTAATTTTAGTCTACTTGAACTTAGAGAATATTTGGTTATTCAATCAACCGAGCCATCAAGTATAATGCTTTGAACTGAAAGTTTATAACTTTGCTCGTTAGAGTACGAAGTTCAGTGATTTTTTTTTTTTCAGTTGAGTATGGGTGCATGACTGATTAACTTGGCAGCTGCAGCTCTCAAGCGGCGAATAATATTATTCATCTTATTAATTCATTTTAACACAATTGAGACGCAAAGATCCGCATCAGCCCTAAAGCTATCAGTAGATTGGTTAAATGATTTCCAATTTATGGCAAAGAGAAATAAAAAATTGTATTGAAGTTAACGCATTGTAGCATTTAAATATTTATCGAGAACGTTCGTTGCGTAACTTGTGACGTATTATTAATGAATTTTTTTTTCTGGTATTGTCATGCAACGCGCGCGACTGAGTTTTATTAAAAATTTTAAGAATAATTCGTTCTCCTACTCATAGGAGATAAAAAAAATAATTTAGGAAGATAATAATTTAACGAGTGCTACTCCTATGGTATGTTTATTTTCGATGCTTCTGCTCAAAATATTTCGCTTATCATCTTGCACGTCTCAAATAAATTCTAACAGTCAAATCGTGAAAAAAACCTACCGATCTTTTGAAGCTTTAGCATTCGCTAATCCCTTGCTAAAATATGTCCGGATGAGGTGATTTAACTCACGAGGGTGAGAAGTCCTGAACGGACGCGCAGCAAAACAAGTTGCGTTTCGTGAGGCCCGTCTATAGCTTCGGAAAGACAAAGATCCTAAGACAGAGCGGCCTCACCTTTTTTATTTAAGAAAATTCTGGCATTCACGCTGACTGGAGCTACTGAACATGAGATTAGAGAACATATATCTTCAGGTACGACACTAATTCCACCACTTCTTAACCTGATGACAGGGATCTGATTCACTTAAGCCATGCTTCGTGTTGACCAACCGTATGCAAATTACCAAGTTGCTAGGACAAACTCTTAAACTGTGTGTACCAGCCTTCGACGCACACTTAAATTGATTCATTGTTGAATTATTGGCTCCGATGATGCACGCTGGTAAATCGCCTACTTTTTATTTTGCGATAATTTTTTTTGCATGATGTTCACTACGTAACATTGTACTTTACATTCTTTAAACTTCCAGTATTAAAACACAATAATTTTAGATTTCATGGTTCTGCAATCTGAAATTTATGTTTTTTTTTATTGCCGAGTGCTTGAAGTTTATTGTACAATGCGTACTTAACGTTTAACAATGCGTTTAACGATCGAGGCGTTTTTCCTTAAAGTTAGAAAAAGTTTTAAAATTATTACTAGTCACACTAGAGGTGAAGCGAGTAATGAGGTTTGCCCAGAACTAAACTAACCGTTTGTCAAATTGTTTATCTACATGTGACGCGTGGCAAACTTTCCAATGAACACAGTTAATCAATATGGAAATGGGCTAATCATAGAGAGCAAAATGTGCCTTGTAGACAAGAGTAAACTCCTGCATCGACAAGCCGCATGACCAGTTCTTGCCATGCGTGTACTGAGACCGTTTAGCAGTATTCTGGTACGAATATTACAGAGAAAATTTGCGACTGCGTTTAGACGGAGCTGCAACTATGCTACTGGACTAGGCAGGCAGGGCGAGAAGATTGACTAAAATGATCGATTCAGCAAACAGGTCATACCGATCCATAATTGCAGGGTCATTGCTGGTCTTTTCATGCTTAAATTGAACATGTATCATCCCAGCCGAGGTTTGAAGAGTAAATAACTGCCCTATGGCCGGTTCATTAAAATGAACTACGCGATCACATGAGGCAAGCACGCTGCTGTGAAACTATTCTGGGTATGTTGTATTACTGATCGCTTTAATTTTAGGTAAAGTAATGTTTCAGACAATTAAAATTTCTGAATTGTGTATTAACTAATTGCATGCCATTATACTTTTTGCGCGTTATGCATAAGCAGTTACAGTTATAACAGGTCACACGTTATCGAATGAGAACTTCAACTCAAACATTGAATTCAACTTGAACATTCCAAGATTGATATGACGATTAGTATTATGATTTGCACAATATTCGTTATAATTAATTATTTAGAGTGGACGTCGTGTACACTCATGGTTCTTAACTTCAGTGCAGTATACCGAAGTTTTCAACTCAAAGCAGAATAAATTAAGCGTTTAGATCGTAAGACCACTTTGTTGTTTTGTAATTTGTGACGATATTATTCA